CTATGTATGAGGTGTCCATTGAGCAACCAGTGGTGCACTGTAGTCGATTGTCACGACTTAAGCGTTCATTAACTTTAAATTTTCGAGGGACTGTTTTACACCACCGGTATGAGAAAGTTTTTTGGCAAGCACACTGACTTTGTCACAGAAACATGGCATCCATTTCGAGTAATGAACAAACATACTAACAACTCATTGTTTGGATTTAGTGACATGTGGATGAGGGAGTTGACGAAAAAAGTGCACTTGTACAGGATCTGGTTTGATAACTCTTTCAGAGAAGGCTTATCTGTTCAGATTTTACGGTGCTTATCTTGCAACTAGGGGTAACCTCACGTTTCTTTATTACTTCATAGAAGGGTTTAGGGTTCCGACGGAAGGCCGTGGTTCGAACCCGACGTCTTCCTTTCGACTTTTCCTGTCTAGGCTTAAGCAACCTGACAGTATCCCATCCCTCGTGCTTCTTTCGGGTGGAATGGTAGCTAGGCACCGGAAGGGTGTTACAGCTGAACGATTTTTTTTGAGGTTCCGGTCATGCTCGCTTTGGAAGGTTCCATAAATAGTGACGTAAATGTAAGCATAAGTAAGTGAACCGATTAATTGTCTGACCATAGTCCATTACCATGGGTCTTTTGTGGTTTGAATTTTTCGTGCTCAGCAGTTGAGTCCTTCAGGAGGAATTCAAAGTCCCGATTATGCCTTCATCCAGCAGCTGGCTAACGTCAGAGCGAATGAACGGTTCATCGTCAGGGTTGTAACTCCGTGACTTCGTGGCGATAGGCTTGCAATCAGGTGAGAGGTTAGCGAAAAGAGGAGGTGATTCAACCGTAGCAGCATTTATACTGCACAGGGGGAATGGACCTCGGCTCCCTTCGAAGGTGATTTCAACTTTTTTATTTAGACCAAGGATGTCGTGCCTAACAGCGTGTCAGCTTATTAACTGGGTAACACCAACAGTTTTATTTTTTTGCAAACAATACTTCCGTAGTCAGTGGGTGCACAGCTGTAGCCGCTAGTCAGAGGGGTTAATGCCATGGTAATCACATAATCGTTAACGTATATCTTCTTACCATGGGTACTACTGAGGGAGATACATAACTGCCCGAGCTTCCTGTGTCGATGGGGACATAAAGCGATATTCTGTATGCTTTCATGTTGGTCACCATGCGGGACAAACGTCAGTCAGTCAGTGATTTGGACTGACAAACATTCTGAAAATGAACTGTTTTGCCATATGACTTATGAGCCGCTTCTCTTGCGAGGCACTCGGATCGTGGATGCCTGAAACGAGCGGAAAAATAAATAATTGATTGACGAGAGATAAGGTATGGGATCATGGGCGGTTGAGTTTGACGAGGTGACCGTAGATGTCCTTTAAGGCGCTGCAGTCGCAGAAAATGATATTTATTGTTAATACAGGTATAGCAGCCTGTTCGTGGACCGATTCTAACGGCCTAGCCCATTCAGGTGCTTGATCCAAAGTAAAATTTTTATGAACCAGAAGTCTCTCTGATGGTAGCAGACTGAAACCAGCTGATCAGAGCATCGCTTGCACGTTTTTACTGTTCGATGTTGGACACTGCCTTGAAATCGAAATTTTTCGTCGATGATGTAAGCCTTTGAACAAACTGATCACCATCTTGGCTGCTGTTTTGTTTGCGTGTTTGTGGAATACGATGAGCATAAATTATATTCTGTGGAGGAA